GGTCGTTCGGACCACTTATTTTAGCAATCGGGACGAAAATAAAAATTCACGTATTTTTAGCCCGCACGCGAAACCGTGGTCCAACAAGCGTCTGTCCTAAGCGGAATCAACATTTCGGACTCACTCGCGTGGTCTGTTTCGTCGTTCGAGGTCGTTTAGACCACTAGCAAACGATCCAAAATGATAATTTGTGTATTTTTAGCCCGTATTTGAATCGTTAACGACATGGATGCCCTCCTTAAGTAATATCGACGTCCTGGATACACATGACATCAAATGGAGTTGTGATACGACAACAAGTCGGTAATCAACATTGCCAACAACTCAGTGCAACATGATAGAACCAACCATGTGGAGAGTGATGGATTCTTCATCAGGAAAAAGTTGAGTAATGGGCTACTGGAGCTGAATTGTAGTCACTAGAGAGCAAGTGGTTGGCTGCCTCACTGAAGTACTTAGTTCATTATATTTGTCTAGGTTATGTGATAAGATGGGCTTAGTGGATATTTTTTGCCCACCTTGAGGGGGAGTGTTGAGAATTGGAGAAATCTATGGGGTTATTTGTAAAATGTTGTAATTACCTATTTAAGCTCAGATTATGAATGTACATATTAGGTTTTGAACAATTCTTTCTTGTAGTTGTTTGCAAACGATGTTCATTTTTGAGAAACTTAATTGTTGATAACATTTCGCAGAAGCTGAGGAAAGTTAGCTTTGAGGATGTAGTAAAAAATTCATAGCAAATACCTACATGAGATAATGGAAAGACTTTTGATGATCAGATGGATCATGTTTCCTTTGCATAGTCTATTGTAATGCCAGGTTAAATCATTATAGCATTCGGAGTGAGGACATGACTAATATAGGTGTATGAAAATTTAGCGGCAGATGCTTGTTAAATTTAGGGTTATCTCTTCAGATGTAACATTTTTGCCACAGAGGTCTCTGGTTATTCACTTTAGATGCATCTTAGCTTGATGTGATCTTGCAATACTGTGCTCTTTAGTGCTTGGGAGTTTTAGCTTGAAGATGAGAAAAATGGGGATCTAATTTTTTTGCAATATTGAGTCAGTTGGAATAATTGTTAATTGACAATCCCTTATGGGAGATCCTATTATTTCTACCGTGCGTGCTGATTTTCTTTTAATATCACACCCCCAATTTGGTCTGTGTTTTGATAACAGGCAATATAAATCTCTCTTGCATGCTCTTGGATTTTGGATTTTGGATTTATTAGAGGAAGTAATGGCTTTGTGGTGCCTGCAAGGAGAAGTTTCCTAAGAGTGAAGTAATCTCTAGGTGTAAGCTTCTTGAAGTTTTTTCTTTTTATGTGCTAGTGTACTTGAGAATTGAGACATGGATGATGCGTGCTCTTATTTTTGTGCATCACAATTAGAGCTTCTTCGTTGAGTGGATTAAATTCTTTTTCCTCTTGTTGGCATAGGTTTTGTGACTTAAATCTTGGTGTTTTACACGGTGTGTGTTTTCTCCCTTTCATGTTTTATTTTGTAGCGATTATGTTCAATCCTCATGATGCTTTCGTCTCATTTCTCATGGCCTCTTCATTTTAAGAAATCTATATGTTTGAAATAGTATTATGTAAAAAGAGCAAATAATAATCTCTAGGTGCAAGATACTTGAAGTTTATTCCTTTGTGTTTTGGTGTACTTGAAAATTGAGAAATGGATGGTAAGTGCTCTTATATTGTGCATCACAATTAAAACTTCTTTGTTTTGGTGGATCAAATTCTTTTTTCTAATTTATGAGCATATACTTTGTGACTTAAATCTTGGTGATTTACATGGTGTTTGTTCTCTCTTTTATGTTTTATTTCGTTGCACATTTTTATTCTCGATCCTCATGATGCCTTCATATTACATCTTGCGCATGTTCATTTCAACAAACTATATCTTGGAAATAATATTATGAACAAAGGACAAGTAATCCAGCCACCATATATTTTTTCCTGTTTTTTTTTAATGACACGTTTATCGAAAACTTAACAACTTAAAACTGTTAAATTTGCATTCTGATGTTCTCAGTCAAAGAGCTGAAGAAACTCGGCGCAGAAATAAAGCTCAGTGGCAATTCGGCTTTTATTGGAGGAACAAAACCTGAAAGGTACCTTTGGGTGTAATTTAGAATTTATATATTTCATCTTCAATAACAACTCTGCAATTTTCTACTTCCGTTTCCAATGCATTCTCATTTTCTCCACACATTACTCAGAATTGCGCTTTCTGGTGGCCGGGTTCGAGCAGCTGATTTGAGAGGCGGAGCTGCACTGGTTTTGGCTGGAATGGCAGCTTCTGGAATTACTGAAGTTGAAAATATTGCTCAAATTGATCGTGGTTATGAAAGATTTGAGGAAAAGCTTTTGTCACTGGGAGCAGACATCAGAAGAGAGAGTGAGGCAGCAGTAAGCAATCATCCATCTGTAGTTTTCACATAAGTTGCCATTTTATTATGCAAAGTTTTGTTTCAGAGAAACTCACAGAAAGTCTCATTTTGAGTTACAGAAAAAAACCAATTCTGTAACTCTATTCTTTGATAATTTTTCATTGCATTTATGACTGTCTGATTTACATGTGATTTTTTAGTGGAAGTAGTATTATTATCTCTATTTTCGTGTATTGCGTTTTACCGTAAGGAGGAGTACTTGGTGGGCTTATCTAAATTATAGTGTTCTTACCAAGTGAATGTGGTAATTTACTAGTAAATAATGCATTATTTATTCAGTCTCTTGTATTTGATTCTATTGTTATAACTTTCTATTTACAAATCAACGGGCCTCTTTCATCCATTTTTCAAATTCTCACTCAAATATCAAAATTCATGGTAAAACCTCAACACATTTTTTATTTCTTAAATTCTCAATAGTTTGATCGTAGCACGTATAAATATATATGTTCGGTAGTTCAAAAAAATCACCTGTCGGTTAATTTGTAAATATCAATATTTTGGGTGATTTGTAGATAATGATCCCTAAAAATTATTACAGCCTGAGTCCCTCTATAGATGGGTAGCTTGCATTTGATGTTCTAGGATTGAGACTGAAGCACACAAAATAAGGAACTAAAGAAAAAAAAAGTACCAGTAGCCCCAGATGTTATATATATGTATATATACAGTTAGTGTTGAAATCATCTTACCATCAAGAGAATTCAAATGAAGCCTCTAAAACGTATACCCTATAAGTTTTATAGAGTTGGTTGTGGAAGCCTCCAAGGCATGGCTTATTAAGGCTAGAAGAGATATTCCTCTTATAACAATTCATATGCAATTCAGACCAGTTCTTTATATTTGATTTCATATAAATTGGATATTATTGTGAGCTTATCAATTTATAAAATCATTGTATGTGTTGTGAGGGTGATAGACTTGTGACATCTATAAAATCACTTTTGTTTGGAAAATAACGTTGTATGCAATATTAATATAAGCAAAAATATATACATACATATAAGGAACTTGTATTTTGTTGGTAAATTTTCATTGTGCATATCATTTATGTAGAGGTATTGTAAGCTTTATAGATGGTGATCTTTTCTGATTACCTCCAAAATTTGGAAGAACTTTGGTTATAAGAAATTTTCTTTTGATTAAAATAGTTTGGGTTACGCTCGCTTGAAATCTGAGTGTGCGTAATTAAAGAAGCTAGTCACATGATGTAGGAGAGTACGTAAGTTTACACTCATCTGAAAGGAAAATGTATCGGTGTAGGACTTCTGCCCCATTGAAGTCCTTTTATTCTAAATTGTGGGTTCCTAACTGGGGGGTTAGGTAGGCGTAGACGTTGGCCCTAGGGTTAGTTTTTAGGCAAAATCACGTGAGATGTTTTTCTTCCTGCTCTTTATTTTCTGTTATTGGGCACTTGTGGTTTTAATTACCTTTTGCTATTTCATGTTATTTTTTTAACACATTTATTCTTTGCTGTAATATTTTGGTGAATTAAATTTTAATAATATAATTTCTTTTTATTTAACAAAATAAGAGTAACTTAAATTTGATCTTCTATAGATATAATAGAATCTGAAGTAATTGAGGAATAATGACTACTATAGGATGATATCAATCTTGGAGATGATAAGTGGACAATGAGAGATGAATACTAAAGATCGAAAAATGACAGTCGAGTGGAGGTTGAATAATGGTCAATGGAATATGGTGGAGATGTGGCTGTGATTAGATGGTGACAATGAGACAATGACAGTCGGACGACAATAGTTGAATAATGATGGTTGATCGTTAGTGTTAGAAGGAATAGCTTTAGAATTCTTCAAATCTCTAAGATAAGTTTAAACTCATTTCTAGTCTCCTTAGGTGGAGAATGAAGCTCTATTTATAACTTCTAAGAGTGATTATTTGATAAATCTAGTTAAGATATCGAAACAATCGGATAAATAAAATAAATCACATTGATTGTTTCATCATGTACTATTTTTTAAATATTGATGTACTTTAATAATCTTAAAACTAAGTGATTTTAAGCTCTTTAGATTTCTCTTATTGCTATCCTCAATTCAATTGTAAGCATATAACATTTAGAGATTATTTTTTTCGTAATTAATGTTTACAATTTTTTTTACTGTATCTCAAATGCTTGGTTCAGGCGTACTTCACTCAGATCAAACATTTGATGTTGTTGGCTTTTCTTCTATTGACTATTAATTACTTAAGATGTATTGTAGTCATGGAAGAGTTTATATTATTGAATACCAAAACAAATTGCAAGGCGAAGAAGATCGCTTATTAGCGTTGAGGTGACAGTTTTAGGGTTCGAAGACTACAATAGAATTTATAAAATTTTTGGTTACTATGATAAGACGTTGACTATTAGCTTTCCATTGATGTTTGGTGTTGACTAGTAGCTTTCCATGTTTTCCAAAGATCTATAGCGAAGACTTATCTATCTCTTGCGCTCTTTAGATCTTTTTAGTTAAGAAGATAAAATGTAACATTATTTTCAAAAGAAAATTTTGATTGGTTGAATACATAATAGCTTTAAAAGAATAAATTTTTAGTTACATTATGAGATAGAGACTATGACTTGGAAAGATAGAGATTAAATGTGGAGCTCAATTTTTTTAAAGCTACTTCAGTGTTGTTATCTTCATGTTGAGTTTATTGGAAGTAGCATGAGTAAGCAAACAATTGATTTTTCCTTCTCTGATGCCTTTTAATGTAAAAAATTATGATTTTTGAGGGAGGAATGGATGCAATAGCCATAAAACTAGATAATATTTATTAATTAAATATTACATTTATATTGAAATGTTGTGTACTAGAATGATTGGATTGAATTCTTCCAAAGCAAGTGAAAGAGTTTGATGCCAAGAACTTTTGTATTATGTCCTCCAAAGTCCTGAATGCTATAAAGATAAAATTGCAGCTTAATTAGCTTGAATTAATTTAGAGTTAATGAAGATAATTGGGGATATAATATCCACTAAACTACCTATGCCAATTAATTTTTTTTTTTTTATATAGCATTGATAGTGACAATTTTAGTTCAGATGATTAGGGAAACTTGATGTGGATAATGTATTCCATCAAGGTCAAAATTATCAAGAATAATTTAATTCTCATACTCTAGATAATTTTTTATAGGAGATATAAGTTGTGATGTTATTTTTAATAATATTATTAATACTCCAGATAATTTTTTTAACATGAATTTGATGATATTTTTTTTATTTTAAAACTATTAATTTAATTTTGAATTGCCCGTATAAATAATGAATCAGATGGTCTTGACGTATCAAATGCTTAATCACTTGTTTCAAATAAATACATCATTCTTTTAAATATCATTTTAAACTATGAAATTTAATTATTGGAATTGATCTTCATCATTTTAAATTTTTAATAATCTAACCAGCTTCACGTGTTTAGAATTTTAAATCTTCATTAAAGTATTTGCCTTAGATATATTTAATGGGATATGGTTAGATGACTCGTACTAATTTTGGTGAAATTAGCATCTTTCATCTTTTGACTATCATTATTTTCTTCATGATAATGTTTGTGCAACACAATTAAAAGTACTCTTATGATTGTTCAAACTACTTTTTATGTGCATTAGTGACCTTATATGCGTTAAGTTGTGCTTCTATTTTATTAACTAAACAAAAGAGCGAATTCCCTCAGGTTAATGAAGAATGGAAGTGCTATAACAAAGTCCTCTAAGAAAAATGCAATGAGTTATAAAAATTCTTTTAAATAGCTCAAGAAATGCTTGTGTGATTTCACATGCTTTAAAAGAATAATTTGAAAATACTATTTAAGAATTATAGTAAAATGCAATGAGTTTTTGATGATTATTCAATTACTAATGAACTATTCAACAAAAAAATTTATAAAGATAGATGAAGGAATTGATAGTCTTAATGGGGAGAATAAAATAGAGATGGAGCTTGATCGTCCTTGAGCGTAGTAGGTAAGACCTAATAAAAGAGCACATCATGGGCCTTTTGAATATGCATGATAGTAATGTAACCCATTATACTGATGTATAGGAGGCGACTTAAACCCCACTAAACTATGATTTTAGAAAATAGCATCTTATGAAAGTTGTGTCGAGGGGTTGTTTATTTTTATCTCTCTAAAAAAAATCTCTGAAAATATATATTGAACTTTAGTTAATAATGTTATGTTGAATTCACTAATATTATAAGAGATTTATAGGTTGATTGGGGAACACGATAATGGTTGATTGAACTAGTAGTATCAAGAAGATATTGGTGAGGCTATCGTAAAGGAGCTCTAGTATGGCAATGAGAGAGGTCTGCATGGATGCCATCAAATTTATCAATCTCAGCATGATATTTATTCTGTTGTAGGCGAATTTATCATGGCATGATGGAATGATGATATCATTTGTTGGTAATTTCTATAACAACTCAAAAATTTGAGTTTGTTGCCCTTCCATTTTGCAAAGCTGATCTCTAAAGTTAAGCTCATTTGTTGGTATTATTGATTGAAAAATTAGTTATCGGTCATGACAAAGTCATTTTAAAGTATTAGCGATGTTTTTCATTTATAGCAACAAAAAATTACAAGTAAGAAAATTCAAGATAATAAAGTGGGATTTACATTATATTTTTACATGAATATCTTGCACACACACATGCAGATAAAAACTTCAAAATTTTATGTAAATGATTTGGGAATAGAAAAAAATATGGGAACTAACTTAGATTAAATATTCCATTATGCAAGTAAAATTACAAAGCTTTTTTATTCAATTAGAGAAGACGTGATTAAAAAAATAAAGTGCTAAAATCATGTTGATTATAAATACAGTGAAGCTGGAAGTGGTGTTGGGATAAAGACAATGGTTGTATAATGACGGGTGGGCGATGATAATTATACATTTATCATATGATGGCCGAACAATAATGAATTATGTGGGTTAGAAGACGATGAATAGACTATTGTGGCCGAGTGACTGTGATTTGAAGATGATTATCTAGCAATAACATTTGAACTAGTTTAATGGTTGGCCGTGTTCATTTGTATTAACCTCCACATCAAGCTCTACAGTTTTTAAGTTCTTCAAGATCTCCTCAAATTCAAATTTACGTTGGACTAATATCATTCGACCATCATATTTTTAGAGTGACCTTTAATTTAAACAACGTGAAGAATGGAGCTCTTTTT